TGTGGGTGAGTACCAAATAAAGCCACATTGTAAAGAACTAATTGTTCTTATATCAGGGCTATGATTAAGTTCCAGGTGAAAATCCATTCTTATATATGTGGTTTATAAATGTCCCTGCTCCACTTTGAAGACATCATTACCATTTTATTGAGGAACATTAAAAATAATTCTCATGTGGCTTATGGTAATTCTATTGATTAAAACAAACCTCAGTCATCGAGTCAATTCCAAATCATAGCAACCCAGTAAGAACAGGGTCGAGCTGCCCCTGTGAGTTTCTGAGACCGTAACTCTTTAGAGGAGCAGAAAGACCTGGACTTCTCCCACAGAATGACGGGGGGTTGCAAATTGCTAATCTGGCAATGAGCAGCCCCAAATTATTGTTATTGTTAAGTGCCATTGAATTAATTCTGGCCCATAGCAGTTGTATGCACAACAAAATGAAACAATGCGTAGTCCTGTGCCCAATGTGTATCATTCATTAGCCAATGCTATAGAATTTATATAGTGTTGAGAAAAGGAAAGCATACACATGCAGGACAGCTTGTTAGACTAAAGGACACGCACTGTTGGCTTGTGCGGATTAAAATGTCAAGGGACTGGACACCATTTATGCAGACAGGGAGGGTTGGAAATAAGGCAAAACTTTCAATAGCATTCATTCACAAAGGCAGAACTATGCATGATGGACTAAGACGTGTCATAAAAAAGCAGAGCATGAAAACAGCTCAATTTAGGAATTGATTGAGAGGCCATGACTCCATCTTGATTCAAGTTAGATTGTTGTTCACCTGATCCAGAATGATTCTGCTTGTATAGATCCAAGTACATATTTATGAGGCTTCCCATCTGTATATTCCTAGGGATACTCCACCTAAGCAGCCAATGACATAAATCCATATGAGTCAGGTTATTCTGGTTAACACTAAGACTCTTTTATCCATTGCAGTAACCACACACACCTCATTTCTGTGGATTAAGTGGTACCACTTACCCCCTCCTACCATGGGGCCCAAGTAACCCCATTGCAGTCAAGTATCTTAATTCAATTAAGGTAGCTTCCACTGCCAAACCTGGTGTATATAAAATGCAATCACAGGAGTCTTCAGAGATGCTGAGACTCCCCTCATAAATTTGCTCCTTATTGTTTTGGTAAAAGTTGTGTCCTCCGCACTCCATTTGTGGTGCCTATGGGTTTATTCTGATAAATCCACACTAACATACCAGTTTCCCTAAGCCTTTGGAGAACTTATTCTACAGTATACCAAATGCTTCAAGCTAACTTAATGAAGGCAATTCCACAGCCCATGCTTCAGTGTACTAACTAAATAAACTATTAGATCTGTTCTTCTCAAGCCGAAACATCAAATGAAGACTTTATTCTTAGTGGGCCCATATAACAAACTAAGGGATCCAACCTCAGGTTCCTTGCATCAATATCTCACATCTTTAGTAACGATTTCCACACATATTTTCCATGTTTCTGTCTGTACATATTAGAAAACTCCAGCATTTCTTGGGTTACCATCTGTACCTCAGCTTTAGGAACTCTGTTAGACTTAATTGTAGGTATAGGTCTAGAAGCAATAATGGGTAGTGATCGTGTTTCCTAGGTGTGTTCAGTAATATCTTATAAGGCATCTGCCCTAGGAAATGCTCCCGATAGCCCATGTGGCATCTTGGCATGCACAGTTGGGCTAGTCTCCTTAAGTGTGGATTGTTTTTAGTGATAGTGTATTAATCTCTTCAGGTGGGAGGGGTGGAGCTATTGACTCGGGTGGCTAAATGAAATCTACGGGCTTGATATCCTCATATCTTGATTATTAGCCCAAATGTCCCTAGCTCATGTTTCAAGGTACCATTTCCTTCCAATCGGTGCCCTCACTTTAACAGCAGACACCATTCAAGGTTGAGAATTTAGCTGTCATTGTAATTCAGCTACTTGTATGATAAGACTCTAGATTTGGTTTTTGGCAATACAAGCTCTGTTACTAGAAGAGAGAAGGCTATCTTGTGTGTGGTGCTTGAGCTGAGATTCTAAACTATTGAGCTGCTCTCTTTCCTTGACCACATTGTCTATTGTGTAGGAACACCAGCTGACACACTTCCCCACACTTCTCATCCGGACAGAATTGCCTAAAAACATCAACCACACTATCACCCAGAGCCTTACTTCATAGTAGCACTTCATCTACTGGAGGTGGTATTGGTGGTGTTATTTAAGATATTAACTTTGTCACCTCACCCCATGGATTAACAATGACCTCTTATCCCGTACCGCAGAGGCAGAGGCCGCCATCTCAGTACCTCTAAACCTAAGCAGACTTCAGAACCACTTTAGAAAGCTCATCTTTATGATTGTGTTTCTTTGGAACATTCTCTGTGCCAGCTGTATGAGACGGGGTATTCCAGAGAAGCAAAACCAGGACATGTATATATGTATGTAACGAGAGAAGTTTATTTCCCAAAAGGTGTGTTTATCAAGATTGCACCTCACAGAGCCACAGAGAGGATACCCAGTCCAGCTCACTTCCACGGGTCAGATGCTGACCCTTGAGCAGAAGAGCCAAGGAGCCAGCGGATGCAGAAGGGAAAGGCCAGTAGACAGTTTGCACTGTGAAGGCAGCGTCTGTAGCAGTGGCTCAGCAAACTCCAAACTGGGGGCTGCGGGGTGGGTGAAGTGGGCTGCGGTCAGTTGCACACTGCTGCACCAGTGAAGAAAGATCCTGGAAGCTTTGCTCCATCCATGTCGTTAAGGCCGATGCTACTTTAAGGAGGCCCCTCGGATCCATTTGTATTTCAAGTGTCTTTCAAGCATGAGTTTTTAATAGGAAACTTTTAATAAGTGGGGGAAATGGTCAATTCAAAGTGGACCTTTTAAAGTCTACTAGCTCAAATAAAAAGGGGGTGGGGATAGATATAACTGTTTTTAAAAATCCTTCCTAATTTCCGAAGTCCATCGTGATAGTGTAGGCTGGAAGATATTTCTTTCCCCTTCCACTAGTAGGTCTTGAGTTCTGGAAGCACTTTTGCTTAACTTTTAGGCTCTTCCCTGCCAATGATTTCTCCTCCCTATTCTGTAAAGAGGAGCTCTGGTGGCGTAGTGGGTTACTCATTGGGTTTGTACCTGACCTCCTAACTAAAAGGTCAGCAGTTCGAAACCACCAGATCCTCTGTGAAAGGATAAAGATTTCCAGACTTTGAAACCCAGAGGAGTATTTCTACTCCATCCTATAGGGTCTCTATAAGTCAGCCTTGATTCAATGGCAGTAAGTTTGGTGGTGATGTTGCAGGGGTGCGTTGTTTTGGTTTGGGTTAGAATTCTGTCAAGAGCTCAGTTCCTTGTGGAACGACCACAGCACAACCATGTACTCACCTGCCAGAAGTTGCACTTCCCAAGTCAGCCACATAGAGATGTTGAATGCTATGGAAATAGATAGAAAGATTGAACTCATCATGACAAATACATCTCTTTGTTGACAGAGAGCCCTCAGTTTACACCCTCTTATTTTAGGCAACTGATTCTATGCAGAAGCCACTGACTCCACATCATTTGAACCCACCCTTGTATCGTGTAAAATAATTTTTATCTGAACCTCAAGTGCATGCAACAGCCAGATATTATTTTTTTCGGCCTTATTACTTTCCTAATCTTCTCTGTGTGACCTAACATGACTGAAAGAACAAGTTTAAGCAAAGTATTAACCTGATCCCAAGTAGTTACCACGTGCTTAGGTCGGATCACACTGGCAACTTCCTAGCCTGGGTGCCGTCTCTGGAAGTTGGTGGTAAATTGAGAGAAATTGGACTTGCTATAAAAACATAGAGGTAACTTGTCATCATTTCAGGATAATTTGTTTAATAATATAGACTTGCATATTTATATAGACCATGTTCACATATATTTTTTCCTGCTTAAAATTTTTTAATTCTCACTGGTATCCTGGGTAGACAAGAAAAATTCCATTTTACAGATGGGAAAACTGAGGAGCACAGGTTACCTGCCCAATACTGAGTCCTTCCCACATAACTCACCAAATGATGGTATATATGTTTGCCTCCATCTCGGTTGGTCTGTGTCTGCCTCTTTGTCTTAGTGTGTGGTGGATTTAGGTAAGATATAAGTCCTTAAAAAATACTATCGAAGTGAAATAATATAAAGTTAGGAAAATAAGAGTAAGGATTGGTAGAAAAGGGGAAAACTCATCTAATAGTTGAAATGAGAAACAATGCATAAAACTGAGGGTACGTAGAATATTTTTGGAAGAACAAAAGTGTGAGTAGAGTTTCAGCAGAGATGGCGTGAGGGGTGACTGGCAAATAGCATGAGTGCTTAGAGGCAGAACCTCTTACTGCCTCAGCATGCGGGAACACGTAGAAATGATGAGCCAGTGGGTCCGCTCAGCTCATTCCTTCTCCTTGGGAAACTGCGCTTGGGGGAACATTCTAGTAAAGAGTGGTAGGGTCTTTCATGGTGAGCTGAGCCAAAAGCTGATTTGCAAAAATCTTTTATTGCCCTCAAAGCAGAGTGCTCTCCTCTGTGTCTCTCTCAGAGTTAAGCTGGTGTCGCTGTTTAGGCGAAGAGGAGCATGACCACAGCAGCCCATGTCCCAGGAAGCTCAAGAGGAATGAGGGTTTGGCATGACACGAGCCCTGTCATGTGCAGTTGGCCTCATCCTGGTCTCTTACCCCCTGCCCAAGTTTGCTTTCTTAACTTTAAAGGAAATATTATTGTGCAACTCAAGCCTGCTTTGGTCTGTTTACTGAGCACTGGCATATGTGCTTGGGATGAGTCAGGTTAGGACGCCAGGCCATGGAGCTATTTACTGGCCTGGCGCTGGCTGACAGACATGTTTCCCACAGCTGGGCCTGATGAGCCACACAGTAGTTTGTTTGAAAACTGAAATGATCCCACGCACACAGACTGTGGTCGTAGAGGGCTCCTCCTTTCTCAGAATGCACTGGGGAGACTTAGCTGGTTTCTGAAATCTCTTTTCCAGCCTTTTCCCTGGAAGGCTCAGGAATCAGTTTTGCAGATTTATTCCGGCTCATTGCTTTCTACTGCATCAGCAGGTAAGGCCTCTTCCTCTATTTTGGTTTCTAAGTGCTCCTGGGTTTGTGCAGCAGAACCAGCCCTGCGGCTTCTTGATTAAAACAGGATGGAGGGTCCCTGGAGGCTTGCCACTGGAAGTCTGTGCAAGGACTCATCACCTAAATAAAATGTTCACCAACTCCCACGTGTCAGCCTTCAGAAGAAAACAACTGCCTGCTATTCTTAGGTGTGATTGTTAGTTGGTTCCAACCCATAGCGACCCTATGCACAACAGAACAAAAACACCACCTGGCCTCGTGTCATCCTTACAATTGGCCCTGTGCCCGGGTCCACTGTGCAGCCTCTGTGTTGATCCATCTCACCAAGGGCCTTTCTCTTTCCACTGCCCCTCGACGTTACCAAGCGGGACGTCCTTCTCCAGTAAGTCAAACCCAGCCCAGCCCATTGCTGCCGAGCCGTTTCTGACCTGCAGGACAGAGTAGAACTCTCCCATGGGGTTCTCAAAGGCTCACTGTTTATGAAGCAGACTGCCTCATCTTCCCCCACGGTTCAAACTGCCGGTCTGTCATTTAGCTGAGTGTTCATTTAACCGGGGTGCCGCAGGGCTCCCTCCATGTCTCCCAGCGCTGTGTGGATTGGGGTCATCACTACTGTGTAAGGCAGTGCCTTTCAAATCTCTGTGTGCACTAGACTCGCCCGGGAACCTTGTTAACTATGGATGGATGGAGGGATTGTGTTAAGCGTTGTACAGCCCCCAATAAAATGACTGAAAAAAATAGATTCTGCTTCAGGAGATGTAGGCAAAGCCTGAAATTTTGCATTTCCAGCAAGATCTGACATGCTACTAGGTGATACGTGGGACCAGACTTTAGTAGAAATGCTAGAACTAGTAATAAGTATAATTTGGGGCCTCTACTTGTCTATCAATTTGTCATACAATAGTGGCTTCTCTGCTTCTATGATGCTGGAAGTTACATCACCGGTATTTCAAATACCAGCAGGCAGGGTCTCCCATAAATTACTTCTAAAAATTAGCCAATGAAAACCCTGTGTATCTGGGAAAACAGCATAGAGGCTATATCTGACCTCATCTGGCTATACAAGGAGAAGGAAAATCCAACTCCTCACCAGCCCAAAGCCTACTGCTATGAGGCAGAAACTGGACATGGCCTTCACCCTCCCTCCTTTTATCTTACTCTCACACCAACCATTCCTCCCATGACTTTGCTTTTCGGTTGGATTTGACAGTCTGTTGCAATAGCCACACAGATTTCACAGACAATACTGATGATTAAGGGTATTTACTAGGAAAATAAACAGGTTACTAGAAGCCAGAATCAGAAAATGTTGAGGATACAGTCACTGGCCCACAGTAACCTCTTTCTTCAGATGGCAGCCAAGTCTTTCTTAGTCTTCAGCTTCTCAGCCACGTGGTCCCTTGGCTGCTGCCTCTGTGGGCTGGGAAAGCCACCCTGCTCCTCTGCCTCATGGTCTCATAGTATCCATTGCTGCTCCTCTGCTCATCTTCGGGTCTCCTTGCTTCAGGCTCTGGTCTCCGTGTGGCATGGCCTCTGCTACCTCTGCCACTTCAAGCAAGGATTTCAACCATGCTCCATTTGGTGGCTCTTTTTCTTTGATCGTCCCAGGAATTCTCTCTCTTCCTGCTTCTGAAATAGCGATCTTATATGCAGGTGTGTTTTTTGTCTTTCAGCAGACCATATTCCCAGGGAAACAAAGGATGGTGATTGGGTGCACATTTTCTAGTAAGGTGGAAAGTCAGAATAATCTTATTCATTAGCATAACAGAGGATACCCTCCAAAATGGGATTATAACTGCAGGCATAGAGGCTGGAATATGTCACGAAGGGATTATGGCTAGAAGGGCCATAGTAATTGGCGACATCTCAGTATCACAACCATATGATTTATATATTGATTATACTATTATAGATTGAAAGTACCATGGACTGTTTTAAGGACAAATTGAGCAGTGTTGGAAAAAGTAAGGCCAGAGTGCTCCTTATAGGCAAGGATGACAAGATTTTGTCTAACTTTGGACACATTGTCAAGAGAAACCAGTCCCTGGAAAATAACATCATTGGTAAAGTGGAGGGGAGAGAAGAAAAGGAAGGCCCTTAAGGAGATAAGTTGACACAGTGGCTGCATCAATGGGCTCAGGCATAAGAACAATTGTGAGGATGGCTCAGGACCGTGCAGTGTTTCCTTCTGTTGTGCATGGGGTTGCTATGGGTCAGAGCTGACTCGATGGCACTTAACAGCAAAGTATTGTCCAGTGAAGTGCTGGAAGATGAGCCCCACGGTTGGAAAGTACTGCACAATAGCTGAAACAATTGACACAAAATATCAATGGTCATGAAAAGACCCCACGTCCATGTTCGTTCTGTTATATGTATTAAGGTTGCTGTGCATCAAGCCAACACAATTAAGAGCCCCACTAATATTTGTGGGGGCTTCTAGATCAGTGGTAGGCTACACATGTACGAGGGGGTACCCCCCCCCAAAGTACTCTCCATTACCTTCAAAATACTCTCCATTACACTTAATACATTTGTCAAATCTGCTATTCCATTCTTGGAAACATTTTTCAAACTCATCAGTTTGGTTAGCTGACAGCACCTTGTCATTTTTCCTTCTACGTCATCAAATCGCTGTCCTTTCATGTCCCTTTTCATTCTCAGAAACAAAGAGGAGTCGCACAGAGTGAGGTCAAGTGAATAAGGTGCATGGGGCAAGAGAGGCATGCTGTCTTTTGCCCAAAACTGGCACACTGAGATGGCTGCGTGAGCAGGTACATTGTTGTGATGGCAAAACCAGCCTCCTGTCTGCCACAAATCAGGCCTTTTTTTTTTGGTCACACTATTATGCAAGCTTTTCAGAACCTCGAAATAGAAAGCTTGATTAACAGTCTGACCTGTTAATCGAACTCCAAAGTCATTATCTCCCTCACATAAAAAAACAACAACACAAAACATCATTTTTGTGTTTGTTTTTCGGGTACCCCACGTATGCTATTGCTGATCCTCCTGGCACACTCTAAGGAGCATGAAGTTCAGAGAGTGACAGGTTTGTTTAGAATCATTTCATTATGAAGTCGGAGCTCTGGTATTTAACTCCAGGCCTATTTTGATGCCCAAACCCATATCTCCCCACTGTACTATACAGTTGCACAGACTTTGGGGACCCCCAAAACTGGTTCCAATTCGCTCACCTCCAACTTCTGTAGGTATGTGCCAGAAACTTCACATGTCTGTTTTTTATGATCTTGATTTGCATGAGGGGAAATTATAACTTCTTCTCAGGGTTGTGCATAGGCCCCATGTAAACTGTAGTAGTTGCTCAACAATATTAGTTTCCTCCCCTTTAGGAATATAGAGAGCAACATTTTACAAAACAAAAACATTTTATTTAAATCTTTGTGTGCTGAAACTCGTAGGTAAAACATTTGTGTCTATGGTGATTTTTTTTGGTCTGTATACAAGCTTTCGAGTCGGGTTGGGGGGGCGGTCCTTTCGTTAACAGACAAAGAGAGGTGTTTCCTTTAGTGTGCATCTGCAAAGAAGCAGCTGTGTTGCACCCTTTGACTGGCTCAACAGACTGGTGTACACTATTTCATTTTCTAGATGTCAGAGACTGATCCCATTCGTTAATGAATGACAGGCATAGTTTCCTTTATATATCCATATTTTAAAAATTATGTGCCATTTGATGTTTAGTTCCCAGGTACTACATTGAGCAAAATAAAAACTTGATAGTAAACATAGGTTGGTTTTTGTCACTTGTACCTTTTCCCTCCCAATTTTCCGAACAAAGCAGATTTTCATTAAGAAGGTACACCATGCAAGCATATTTTTTTCATGATACTTTAATATTACAAATGTCCTTTTAAGATTATGATCAAGGTCACGCTCCTCCCAGGTCAGGCTAAGAGTATTACTAACACCCAACATCCTCTGGGCTTCACTAGATTGGTGGAGAACAGAAAAAGGTACACTGGTAGAAGGTGGTGCTCTTGACATCTTGGGGACAGGCAAAAGAGTCCATGGAAGCAGGAGGCGAGCTGGCTTGACACCCCAGGGCTGATAAGCTTCCACTTGCCCTCAAATCCTGACCTGATGATTTATATAAACAGCACAGTACAGCTTTTTTGACACTAGTAAATTTATTCGTGTTTTTTATTCATCCTTTTTACTTAACTAATTTGTTACTCATGTTCAACAGCCTTAAAATTTCAAAATTCTTAGTGTGTAGATTTAATCTGGTTCACCTTTTAATGATGTCCTATACTGTTGAAATGTAGGCAGAGGCCCCGAGTTTTGCCCCTCACATGCCCCACCCTAGCCACAGTGGCATCCTTTTCATATCTGTCAGACCCTCCTCTTCTCAGGGCCTTTGCACCCACTGCGTGCACTGCCAGAAATGCTCCCTTCCTCAGGCTCACCCCCTTACCTCCAATAAAACACCATCTCCTCAGTGAGGGTTTCCCTGTTCACCACCAACACCCTTACACTCTTTATTCCCCTTAAATCTATAACACATACTCCCTTCTCATATGTTCCGTGAATCACCTATTTGTTTATTGTCTGATAGTTGCCTGGAGTGAAGCTCCATGAAGACGGGACCCTTCTGTTTGTTGTTATGTTCTCATCCCCTGAAACAATACCTGTCACCTCATAAATGATCATAAATAACTGTTGAATGAATGAGTGAATGAATGAATGCATTGTGTAAGATCAATGTCACCACTGGACATGTCACTGTTGTCATCACTGAATATCCACTCATTCATTAAAAAACAACAACAACAACATGTTCTCCCTTTGTATACCAGATCCTGAAACCATGAGGGCTTCTCTTACAGCATTTCTTGAATATGATAATATGGGCAGGAATAATAAACATTAACTCTTATCATCTGTCAGGTTCTGCTTGGATGTGATACAGTGTCTAGTTAGAACATTTTAGTTTAAGTTAAAATATCTCTAGGATGAAAATGAAAGGAGATAGACAAAAAGATATATCAGTATAACATTTCTCTTCTCTAAAATATCAGGGATGTTCTGCCATTTACCTTGAAGTTGCCTTATGCCATTTCAACAGCCAAGACGGAGGCTCAGCTTGAAGAACTAGCCCAGCTGGGAATAAGTAAGTAGGTGCCCCTCTCTGGGCCCATCTTAGAACAAATATATGGATCAGAATCAATGTGAGGCTAGATAAGGCTACAATGTTATGTAAATATAACTATAGCTAAACATAACCCCATTCCCATGGCAAAACACAACCTTCTAGGCCATGACTCAATGCCATCAGGTCAATGCTGACTCTTAGCAACCCTTTAGGACAGGGGAGACCTGCCCTTGTGAGTTTCTGAGCCTGTAACTGTTCACGGGCGTCGAGAACCTCATTTTTCTTCTGAGGAGCAGATGGTCATTTCAAACTGCTGTCCTTGCGGATCATAGACCAGTACATAACTACTATGCCTCCCTGAACTGGATTCTGATATTCTTTGTCCAAGTCAGTGTGCAGCCAGCTCTTAGACTGGTGCTGATTTGCCAGTGTATTCCTCAAGTCCCCCTAGCTGAGTTTAGGGCACCCACAAAATCAGTCATAATCAGTACTGTAAACATCTATCCTGCTTCACTCAGCATCCTTCCTTGCTGTGGCATCTTGCTGGGAAAAGCAGGGCTTGATGAAAAGAGCAAATCCCGCATATCATGTGCCAGGTTGTATTTCTAGAGTGACACCTGGGCACTGACAAGACTGTGCTTTTAAGGCATTAAAGAGTGAGCAACATCTATTTCTTCATGTCCTCAACATGTGCATTTCAGTCCTGAGGTTCTTTGCTGCATCTACCATGACATGAGTCATCACGCTAGCCAGCTGTGCGCGTGCATCTTCCCACCTCATCCCTTTGCTGATGCTGCGCAGAGATTGACAATGGATCAGGAAATAGTACTCATGCACGTTACCAATCTTTGTTCCATTGCCTAGGGATTCCACCTGGGTTTAATTTTGCATACACACACAAATTCTTCTTAGATCTGAAGAATAAATACTAAGGATTTGGGGCTTCCATATTTAGATGGATTAATAACCAGCCTGCAGTATTTGAATGAAGGTTAGGATTCTAACATGCAAATGCTAGGGCCCCTAGAGTCCAAGAAAAATGTGGTCCCTGGGCCTGCAATTCAAAATTATTGACAGTTCCCCTTCAGTGTATTTTTATGCATACAAAAACGCTTGTTTGGAGGGTGGCCTTTTCAAGAGCGTCTGCATAATTAATAGAGGAACTTGACAGCAACTCCAAGTGTCCTTTTGATGACTTCCAAGAATTACCACACTGGTCTAGCTCATGGATTGGGAAAGAGGCAGCCATATGGTCAAAATACAGGACATATAAACGTTCCCATTTGAAAACCAAATCATATCCTGCAATAAGATGTACGTGCCTTTAGGACAAATTCAAAGTATTTTTCTGAATCGAAGTTCCTATAGGCAACTAGACTGTAGGCACCCTGAAGGACTGAACCAGGTCTCAGTCTTCTTCCTGGTGACCTCCCTCGCTGGCCCCTAGCCAGGTGGTCCGAGTGCAGGCCTTGCTCAGAGCTTGGCTGAGAGGCTGAGGTGCCATAGACAGTGCTGTGCTCTGGTTATTCTGGTGGCCACAACCCTGAAGCAAATAAAGTCGTATTAATGTGTATTCAATTAGTCTTTATCAATGTGTACACTATAAAGGACACTGTAAAATCCTGGGTCTTATTTATTTGTTCATCTAACAAATATTTTGAGAGGGCTTACGTGGTAGGCACAATTCCCATAGCAAGGAGTCAATGTTGATTGGTTGCCAGCCCTCCCTTCCACCCCCACCTCCCCCAGTGTTCATAGTTTATATGGGAGAAATACACACTTGTGAAGCAGGTATAGGAGTCTTAAAGACTTACAAGTATGACAGAGGTCCAGAGCCTCTGTCTGGACTCAAGTGGGACAGGCGGGACCAGTCCCGCCAAGACCTGTGCTGGCTCACAGAACAATAACAGAAGCTATGAGTAATTTTAAATTTCCTAGGAGTCACATTGAAAAAAGCAAAATAGAACCAGTGGAATGAATCATATGCTTAATATTACTTATTTTAATATATTTGATTTAAGGTGATATATCGAAAATGTTTTGATTTCAAGAGACAATATCAAAAGTTTGGAATGAAATCAAGAAGGCCATAGGGAATGTCCACAGGGCTGGAGACATTTGCCTCAATGCCAGGCCAGTCTTATAACACTGACAAGGTGCCGAAAGAGCTCCCAGCATAAGCCTCTCCTCACTTGAGAACACCTATCCTGGGCCCATAGGAAGAGAATATATGACACACACATACAGCCGTGCTGTAAAAGAGAGAGAAAAGAACTTTGAGCAAATGGAAGTTATAACAGGCAACATTTATCACCACCATTTGCACAGAAAACAAGGAGTCACGCAGGTGATATAGATGCAGTAAGCAAACGGGAAGTCTCCAGAGTGTTGAATATATCCTTGCTAAAGAAGTTACTGGATTTAGAAATAATAGGCAATGGCTAAGATAAATGGTAGCACCAGCACTGTATGTTTGCTATAGTTTTGTCGGTTGATTTTGCTAACGGGGCCCCTAAGTATATTTTCCTCCTTTCCGGGTTTTAAGGTTGAATATGAACATGTAAAACCCCATACAAATTGTATAAATTGCCCCCTGCCCAGGCCCAGCTGTTAGTCTTGCCCACAGATGGGCAAGAGTGTTGCCTGATCCCCTGTCTGATGGCTGCCTCTTCTGAGCGGACCTCAGAGGAAACTGATGGGAAGGGGTGGTGGTACTTCATACATTGACTCTGTTTTTGTAAACTCAGGTGTCCCAGTGACTTTTCTCCAGCTAATACCGTAACGGCTCCAATTATTTTTATTTATTTGCTTTGTACTTCCTACAGACCTATGAAAAGGCCGAGCTGGAGTTGTATGCTGGCCAAGCCATTTCTCAAGGGCTTTGAAGGTTAAAAGTCCCTGGAACCTTCCTGTGGGCCCAAAGCTGGGTCTGGCAGCCTTTCCACCCTTTCCATAAGGGAATGCAGTCAAAATGTACACACACACACACACACACACACACACACACACACACACACAAAATCAGCCCACTCTAATCCCACATCAGTGCCTTATGCTCCAAAGATGCCCTTGAAATAGTGTGTTTTTTTATTTGTGAAGGAATGGCCTAAGTGTATTGTATTTACATTCTTGTGTTCACTGATAATAACTTTCAGATTTTTGGAGCTCACCAGCTGACAGCCAACCCCCAAACCCTCCACCTCCCCATAGGCCTCTCTCCTCAGACGGTGCTTGTCCTGGCTCGCATCAGCTCTGCCTTATAAATGGAGTGCATTCTATAAAAACCAGGACGCCTTCAGAACTGGAGTGCAGCCAGAGCAACGGAGCTCTGTGCTTTATAAATCCTCTTTTCTTGAAAGTGCACAGTCAGGACCTCAGTGGAAGCCTGCCGCGACCCAACACAAGGATTCCGAGCGTAAATGGCACCGAGAGACCTCGGTCTCCCCCACCCAGGCCCCCTCCACCCTTTATTAATAGTCTCCGCACCAGCCCCCAGCTGCCCAGGACTCAGACCCAGGCGAGCATGCCAGAAACAGCCAACCATAACAAACAGGAGGCCGGAGCTGTGCCTGGAGCAAAACCAACACCCATCCCTCCGCCCCGGCTGAAGAAGCAGGCTTCTTTCCTGGAGGCAGAAGGCGGTGCAAAGACCTTGACTGGTAGCCGGCCTGGATCTGGCTGCTGGCCTATACCCAGCCTGGAGCCCGAGCTGAGCACAGCTGGCAGCGCTGGCGGGGCCCCGCCCTCGGAGGCACAGGGCAGTTGCACAAAGTCCCAGCCTCCCTGCTCTGAGTCACAGCCCCCATGGAATGGAGGTAGGCAGCGACTGAGCGACATGAGCATTTCCACTTCCTCCTCCGACTCCCTGGAGTTCGACCGCAGCATGCCTCTCTTCGGGTACGAGGTGGACACGAACAGCAGCCTGGAGGACTACGAGGGGGAAAGCGACCAGGAGACGATGCCCCCGCCGATCAAGTCCAAGAAGAGGAGCAGCTCCTTCGTGCTGCCCAAGATTGTCAAGTCCCAGCTGCGGAAGATGAGCGGCGTCTTCAGCTCCTTCATGACGCCCGAGAAGAGGATGGTCCGGAGGATTGCTGAGCTCTCCCGGGACAAGTGCACCTACTTCGGGTGCCTAGTGCAGGACTACGTGAGCTTCCTGCAGGAGAACAAGGAGTGCCACGTGTCCAGCACGGACCTGCTGCAGACCATCCGGCAGTTCATGACCCAGGTCAAGAACTACTTGGCCCAGAGCTCGGAACTGGACCCTCCTATTGAGTCTCTGATCCCCGAAGACCAAATAGGTGAGTGCCTACTCCTTTTATTTTGTTTTCAATATAAGACAGATTGTGGTTGTATAGGACAGGGCACCATAAGTTTGATGTTTGGATTGAGTTTTCCCTGAGACGTTCCTAACGTCAAGCGCCACTCCTTCACTGCACTCCCACAGAAAGATTTGCTTCTGAAAGAAGCCCTGCCTTCCACGTGCCCCGCCAGATTAGGAAAGGTTGTGGGAAACGACTGATAAACTATGATATGATTGTGGCAGGAATGGCATTTGAGCTGCTTTGACTTCAAAGGACCATGTGCCACTTGCTTGTGTGCCGTGTATGTGCAACAAGTGTGTACTGTGCATGGGGCATGTCAAGAGTTTTTGGAAAATGTGTGTCTTTGCAGGTGGGGTATATGGCGAAAGGTGCTTGTGCTGTGTAGCGAGGGGCAGGCTGTTTTGCTCTGTTTTGTTTGAGAAGTAAACTTTTTATTGAGGTGTAGCATATGAAGGAGTTTAAAAAAATCATGGGAAACATTCACTTTCTTTCAGTTCTCTTTCACCTTGAGCTTTTTTGAAGTCCCTTCTTGTGTTCATAAGCAGGCAGAGATATGGGTGTGCACCTGGGGGAGTTTTCACAGAGAACACACCTGAGAAGCAAGTCTTGGCTCGGTACTCAGAATAAACCCAACTCCCAGAAGTCCGTGGCATACCTTGCAGAATTCCACTTCCTGCCGGCACCCAAGCCCTAGAAGAGTACTGTGAGAGATACAGTATTAGAGTAAACAAGGGGAAAAGGAAAAGAGAAGTTTACATTATGAACCTTTAAATTATGAAGCTTGGTTTTGAAGTCACATAAAAGGTGTTTTCTCCAAAGTGAAGGGTAAATGCTCTCTTGATAGCCTCATTGAGGAGCCCTGGTTGTGTAGTGGTTATTGTAGGGCTGAGATCCACATGGTCAGCAGTTTGAAACCACCAGCAGCGCTGAGGGAGAGAGACTGGGCTTTCTCCTATGAACAGTAACAGTCTCGGAAACCCACAAGGAGTCACTAAGAGTCAGCATTGATTGATGGCAGTGAGCGAGTTATAGCCTTACTTAAGGGCTGAATTGTTCACGATGAATTTCAAACAAGGGAAATCCTAATTTCCTTGTTCCTAAGCAGCCTTTTTTTTTTCCTCCAGAGCAACTATGGAAGGAATTTTTCTGTTTTGCCTTGTTCCAGAAGGTTGGCTATACGGAGCTCATTTCAGAGACCGCCTCCCCTTGGCGGCACCGCCTATAGAGCCACTAAATGTTTCCATGTGACCCCAGAAGCTAAAAAGCTAATTTCTCCCATCAACCGGGTCAGTTTGTGGAAGTAAACAAGCAACATGCGGTAGAGAGGACTTTCTCTCTTTTGGTTTTCCTCCTCCTTAGACAGTGTAGGCAACTCCTCAGTTTTCACACAAAGGAATCAAAGTCGGATTTGTTTTCTTGTGGTTGGACTGAGCTGAGTTGGCAGGGCGCAGCTAGGGCTAAGATGTGGCTGGAAGGAATGTTCCCTGGTAGTGTGCCTGAAATTTTAAAAGGGTTAGCGGAAATGGTAGCAACATCCACACACCTCCTCTTTCCCTAGTCCCACCAGAGACCCCATCTTTTCCAGGAATTCTGGTCTGTCAGACATCAAGGCTGCCCAAGCAGCTTGCTGGCTGTGGGTTTAGGGTGAGCTTGTCAGAGTGATGTCATCATGAAGCTGTTGTGGCCACAGCACCAGCCAGACCCCATGGAAAAGGCTCACAACTCAGCCTCACATCTCAACCAAAGTTTTAGTCCCAGGAAGTAGCTTTGAGGTTAGCTTCTTTTGTAGTGAAATCTGAGTTCAATGACTCCATATCTCCAAAGACATTGCTAACTGAAATGCAGGTATTTTATATCTACTCCAAGTCAGAAGAAAAAAGGGAAGTTTTTATTTAGAAGATATACCAGGGAGAAGACAAAATAAACCAAAAACAACCCAAACAACCAACACTGCCATTATGTCAATTCTGACTCATAGAGATGTTATAGGACAGAGTAGTACTGCCCCTATGGATTTCTGAGACTTTACTGGAGTAGAGAGCCTCATCTTTATCTTGCAGAGCTGCTGGTGGTGTTTAACTGCTGACCTTGTGGTTAGCAGCCCAACAGTGAAAACAAACTGCCTTTGTGCTATGCTGTTTGAAATCAGAATACATAGAGACTATATACCTTTGGCTTTACTTTTACATTAACTCCAGTTCCTGGGTAACTACTGGAAACAACTGTTGACCATTAGCTAGCAAAAAGAACAATAAGGTTCTTCATTCATGGGCCAGTCTGAGGACGTGTTTGTTGACTAGATAGAGCCTTACTTTTAATCACTAACAGCTGGGTAAATACAAGACGATTCTTAGCATTATCCTGCCTTTTAGGTGATGCAACTTCCAACCTGTCTGCTTTTGAGCAATGTAGCAAGTTATGAAAATTCCATAGAGATGCCATTAAGTAAAGTACCTTAGACTAACTGCATTTTCAAGGGCAATCTTTTTAATTATATTAAGTAAAAAAACTTAGTGTACAGCATGCTGACAATATACTGTGCAGCTTCAGAAGCATGTAACGTTTCACTATAAATCTAAGGGCCTGCTGTGCTGTGGGGTAAGCATGGGGCTTTTCACTACAAGGTCAGGGGTTCAACCTTGACTCCTCAAGGGAGAAAGGTGACTCTATCTGCCCCTGAAAGATTTTGTCTCAGGAACCCTATGTGGGGTCATTGTGAGTTGGAATTGACTCAATAGTAGTGGGTTAGGCTTAGATTTGCATGAACTAAGAATGCAGGTGGCACTTATGGGGCATCCAGTATGAGCTGGCAGCCTACGAAGGCTACTTAAGCAGGTTCTTCCCTTGCCCACTGAAGCAGAATTCATCTTCTGTTAGAAGGAGCAAGGCAAGTCTTTCCCAAGTGGAGCAATATGTCCCAAGCCATACCAGGTAGCAATGAGCAGGTTCAATATTTGAACTTTGTTCTGTGACTTGAACCCAATGTTGTTCTAACTGCTTTTTGTTTATAGGTTTTCTTCATTGTCCTTACAACTTCTCTCAGAAACTGAGGGAGATTGTCAGAGTACACTAACCCTTTATTAACAAAGACGTTATTAACCAATGTCTTTTGAGGTATGGGTAGGCCCTCCTTAGGCATTGCCAAATTTTGTATCAAATAGGTCAGTTTGTTACTACTAATGTGGGTTTTTACTTAGGAGCATCACAGCCAATTTACTCAAAGTTAGAGCAAGAAAGAGAAGGTTTATTAGAAGGTCAGCAGCCAGGAGATTGGCAGCAACACAGGCAGTCTTGATGGCATCCTATTTGAAATCAGAATACATACCTTTTACTTTGGGCTAGACACTTTGGGAAGTCACATATGGATGTATTACATTAACTTGGGTTGTAGAATACTCTTGGGAGACAATTGTTAACCATGTGCAAACAAACAAACAATAAGGTGCTTGAAGTTTTAGGCTAGTCTCAGGATGTGTGTCTGTTGACTTACCAGATAACAAGATCACTAACAGTTATGAAAATAAGAGAAGACTCTCAGAATCATTTAGCCCTTCAGATAACATACACACCTAACCTGTTTGCCTCTGAAAAACACAGCAAGATTTAAAAATCCCATAGAGATGACATGAAGTAAAGAACCTTAGGCTAACCACACTGGGCTACACGATCATCGTCATCATCCCCGTTGCTTCACCAATGAAACCTTCATTCTTTTTGTCTCTGAACTATTTCCTTCATTCTATGTTTGAACCCACTCTACCTCCATTGACTCCATTCTGATTCATGGTGATCCTACAGGACAGAAAACTACTCCTTGGGGTTTCTAAGACTATACATCTGTATAGGAGCAGACTGCTTCATCTTGCTTTTCCAAAGCAGCTGGTGGATTTGAACTGACAGCCCAGCACTTACCTCACTGTACCCCCAGGGCTCCTTTATGTTTTAAATGTACAGTAAAATGCTGGACTTTTAGAGTTGGGCGTACAGTAAATAAGTTAACCTGAACAACTTATAAGAAGACAAAGAAGTGGCCCCAATTATTGTGAAATTTGTGAGCACTCGTGGATTACCCAATATGAAACTGTTCACTGCAGAGTAGTAAGAAAGCTTAAGCAAGACTGTGCTTACTGGATATTCCATCTCTGTCAGGGATTATAAACTTGTAAAAGAGGCTATGATTCTTTTAGGAAGGTGCTGTGGGGTTGAGAGACGGTTAGTCACACCCAGAAACAGAATCTTTGATGTGGTGGAAAACGTCAAATTGTTGATTACAGATTAGTAAATAAGTGCAAGTAAACCCGTGCTTACCTTGTTTATTTGATCATCCAACCCTGCCTGTAAGAGCTGAAACTTGATGTGATTGCCTTGCTTTTTAAGCCTCACAAGCCATCTGCCTTTGATAGGGCACTATCTTACCATTATTTCTATCACTATTAGTGGAAAATATTTAAGTTTTCCTTTTTTGATATATTTCCACCTTAGACAAGTGCTGCTTTTGCGGGTTTTGCTGCATTCAAAAACCAAAACTTTGAATGCATGATTTCCTAGATTAGGGCTCTTCACAAGACAATGGGTTTAGCCTAATTATGTGCTTTCTGTGTTCCTACATAAAACATTTACTGACTTATTAATGCACGAACTCCTTTGAGTTTCATAACCAATTTTAGGTTGGTATGTACGTAGGCATTATTTATATTTTCAAATCTAAGAATTGAGGCCAAGCTATGGGAAGTTGTTGCCCTCTGACAAGAGTCCTAGGGCACTTCTCACTGTATAGCCAAAGCTAGAAACCAGGTTGATTCGAGAAATTCTATGTTTATTCCTGCAAACGCTGCAAAAACAGTGTGATTTCTTCCTCCAAACTGTTTCAGAAATTCTGTCAGAATCCAGCAAGTTTTATACCTTAAACAGTGTGACAAGAAACAAGCTGTACAACGAAATGACAGCGTCTACAATGATCAGAGAGCTTCCAAGCA